TTGAACTTATCAGCCGACTTATCAGCTACAATCTACAATATTTTTCTCTCATAACAAAACAGTTTCAGCAGTCGGCTTATCAGCCGACATTAATATCAGCCGAACATATACCTGACGCGTCCAACTAATAGCTAGCGGTAGCGGCTTACTGAAAAGGAAGGTGTTGAGGCTCCGGTTGTGCATGTACTCGTAGACCAGCATCCTCTCCGACCCGTCGATGCAGCAGCCCAGAAGCCTGACCAGGTTCCTGTGCTGCAGCTTGGCTATCAGCTTCACCTCGTTCTTGAACTCCCGGAGCCCCTGCGTGGACCGCCGCGACAGCCTCTTCACGGCGATGTCCTGCCCATTGTCCAGCTTCCCCTGCAGACCATTAATCAGCAGTTACAGTTGATCTGAATTTTGGCCAGAACCCTTTGCATTCAGACATGCATGCATCTTCTGCATTCATACTTGTCATTTGTCAAGCAAGAGAGGATTTTGGTTTACCATGTAGACGGGGCCGAATCCGCCCTGGCCGATCTTGTTGTGAACCGAGAAGTTGCCCGTAGCGCCCTGGATCGTCTCGACGTCGAACGACGGCAGATCGCAGTCCTGGTTACTACTGCCCTGGCCGTTATGCAGGGAGTCGTCCTGAACATCAGTCGATGCAGCAATCTGGTTCCTTCGTCCGAACGGTGTGCTCTGCCTCTGCGCGTTTCTCAGCAACGCCAGGGGGATAGCTTCCTTCTCCTTCCTGCGCCGTTTCATCTTCATGGCACAAATGCAGTAGAGTCCAGCTAGCAGCAGCACCGGTGCAGCAACCGATGGGACGATGATCTCGACGAGCCTCTTCGTTCGCGCATCCGTGTCTGCTGAGGAAGAGCTGAGAGCTGCAAGATTCAGAGAATAGTAACAGTTTCAGTTAATATGCACCAGTAAGGTAAATTTGATTGTGATGTACTTTCCGTACATCCGAGTTCTGTTTCTTATTATCTGGCAGATCAGTAGCTTGTTTTTCTTTTTCCATTGTAGGATAATGCAGCTTCAATTATCTGAAGAAAAGAATAATGCAGCTTCTGGGTCTGCTAAGAGGCAAGGACCGAAAAGGACTAGCTTTTATGTTAAGCCACCTTTGCACGGCTCATCCAAAACGACTTCATCGGTGAAGCCAAAGCCGGTGAAGTCAGAAAAATTGGCTTTGCCTGGCTTCTAGTTCATTTTAACCCTGGCTTACAAAACGGCTTCACGCTGCAATGCCTCGATTTGCGTAAAATAGATGAAGCCGAAGTCGGCATAAACCGTGCCAAAGAAACCCTCAGTAGCCTAATAAGAAACGTTAGTGCTTGCCTTTTTTCAACAGTGGGCATCACTGTCGTTGGACCTAACAGCAGTTGCTAACTTAACCATCCAAATTGACAAAAACGCTGACGGCTTTGACTTTTGACCTGGGAGTTGCAGGTTTTCAGCAAGTGAGAAAACACCGGGAGGTAACTTTGAACAATCGCAGCTGCACTCGTTTTGCCCTCAACTATTTGACTTGGCATGCTGATTAGCTTTGCTCAACTCCTCTCTATCCTAAAAAAACCGTGAGATATATACGCGACGCGCGTGGCAACTGGCAAGTATGAACTCTGATCAAGTTATTCTGTGAAACAGAGTATTTAGCTTCAATGCAAATGTGACGAGCTCCGTTGTCACCATGACGCAAGAAAACAAAGTACAAAGTACAGTACTAAAACGAGAAGGTAAACACCTACTAAGGCTATGTTTAGATTGCAAAAAATTTCAACCCGATGAATAGTAGCATTTTCATCTTATTTGGTAAATATTGTCCAATCGTGGACCAACTAAGCTCAAAAGATTCATCTCGTGATTTCCAACTAAACTGTGCAATTAGTTATTTTTTTTACCTACATTTAATGCTCCATACAAACGGCTAAAAATTGATGTGATGGAGAAAGAGTGAAAAAACTTAGAATTTGGAGATGATCTAAACAAGGCATAAAAAAAGTCGGCCGCATGCAGAATGCAGCTACAAGACGTCAATCAATCAACAATGATGAACACTACTATCCTATGCTAAAAAAAATAAGGCCGCGTTTAGTTCGGCCCCAGATTTGGCGCCGCCCAAATTCACGGCACTGTTGCGGCACTGTTACGCACTGTAGTGTTTTGTTTTTATTTGGTAATAATTGTCCAATCGTTGACTAATTAGGCTCAAAACGTTCGTCTCGCAAAGTACAACTAAACTGTGCAATTAGTTTTTGATTTCGTCAACATTTAGTACTCCATACATGTACTGCAAGTTTGATGTGACGGGGAATCTTCTTTTTGCATAGTGCCAAATTCTAGAATTTGGATGAACTAAACGTGGCCTAACAACAAAGTCACTCACGAGTCACGATGCATGCGTTCTAAATTTCAAATGCAATTAAAGAGCAATAATCCAAAAAGATTGACAACAAACTCCTTTTTCTTCCTATGTTAATAGGTATCGTACACGTGCGTTGTTACAGGACAACTAAATCTTTTGTACTAAAAACACACGAATCGCACGATAAGATAATAATACTGTTAAATTAAATACCGATGTTAAAGTGACATTTAATTCAAAAAGCAAAATTCGTGAAATTAACACAATCACGGAGAGCGCGGCGTCGCAGACTCACAAACTCTACTGTATAGACTTTTCGTGATATGGCTAAGATAATATTTTATATCGGCAGAAAGAATTCTCCGATATCCATTTCTTTCATGCGTCAATAAATCCATGAATAAGTTCCGCTACATCTCCATATAATCCTATACACACAGATTCGAGTATATATGTAAATATTAGTGCCTGTCACATAGATAATACAGCGTGTTTTAAAAAATCTCTCATAAAATTTTAAAACAAAGTATGTTATACTCACTGTATAAATATGTGTGGCTTTAGGACTATTCCACACAGACATATATTGTAGAATAAGGTATCCACTTGAGTATTTATTCCAATATGTTGAACTAAGTGTTGTAATTCTTAATTTCGACACATTTTTCAGGTCAAGGCAACCAATGGTGACACTTTTCTTAGTGGCGCATAATTTTATGGTGCACCTCTTGACTATCTGAGTAAGGACAAGTTAGCACTGTAAAGCCTCAGAAAAGCTGCTGAGAAGGTCAAGGTTGAGTTTTTCTCCACTATGCATACTAAAACCTATGTCCCCGTTTGTCATTGTCGATGCTTTTGATGTAAAGCAATTCAACATTACCATGATCAGATATAAGTTTGAGTCTCTTGTGAGCAATCTCATAGAGGGACTCTCATCCTTTATGTGATCTGCCTCAAGGATATTGGCATGACGATGGACCCATGTTGGAATGTCGCACCAAAAAGTGTCCACATTTTGTCCACGATTTATTTCCCATGAATACATGCGGGTACTATGATAACACTAACTACACCAAATAAAAGATTAGAGAGAATTTGCATTGCCTTCAGAAGGATTTATTTATTAAGTTCTTTGGGCTCTACAGGTAGTTTTGAAATATCTGTTTGCATGTCTTACCTCGTATCCTAATTCAAAATTTTATAGTTTAATTAGAATATGGGGAAATAATTCAAAATGAACAGACCCAAGGGCAATTTCAGCAAGAAACAGCAAGCGAAGGCGATAGAACACGTGAGCGTAAAACCAAATGAAAGGAGAAAAAAGCTGTCCCTTTTGCAAATGCAAAGAGGGGAAGTAATTAAATATAGACAGATTTGACAAGGTTCTCAGAAATGCAAAGATGTTCATTTTGTCTTAATTCTCTTTCCTTCTGTGTTAATTCTCTTTTCTTTTGCTCGTTGTCATGTATGCTGGTGCATGCAAACATGCAATGTGTATATGGACAGCACAATAATTTTCTACTTCCTATTTTGCCGTGATTTCTCTATCACATGACAGGCAATATTCAATCAAGGAGAATCGCATCAAAGGACGCAGCATGCGAAAGATGTCGTGGGATCACAGACGTGGGCAGACGGACGAACCAAAACAAATATCACACCAAAAAATGTTCACACTTTCTTCTTTTTAGTTGTAGGAGTTTCAACAAGAAACAGCAAGCGACGACGATAGAACACGCGAGCGTGAAACCAAATGAAAGGAGGAAAAGCTATCCCTTTTGCAAATGCAAAGAGGGGAAGTAATTAAATGTAGACAGATTTGGCAAGGTTCTCAGAAATGCAAAGATGTTCCTTTTGTCTTAATTCTCTTTCCTTCTGTGTTAATTCTCTTTCCTTTTGCTTGTTGCCATGTATGCTGGTGCATGCTAACATGCAATGTGTATATAGATAGCACAATAATTTTGTACTTCCTATTTTATCGTGATTCCTCTATCACATGACAGCAATATTCAATCAAGGAGAATCGCACCAAAGGACGCAGCATGCGGGAGATGTCGTGGGATCATAGGCGTGGGCAGACGGACGAACCAAAACAAATGTCGCATAAAAAATATCCACAATTTGTTCTTTTTAGCTGTAGGAGATTAAGAGAAAAAGAAAAGGAAATGCCAACACAGTGGCACCAAACTTGTCATCAATTTGATTTGAATGAACATCGGAAAGGAAAAGAAAAATGTAGCTGTCCGCCATTGCCAAACTGCCTCATGTCGAGAAGGTCGTCGGTCCACATGAAGCAACCCCTCGCCCCCAGGGATGCTGACATTGGCGCTGGCGTAGGCCCGGCACGCGCAGTTCCTGAGGCAGCTCTACCGGCACTCGTCAAGGCCGAGGGACATGTCGACGGTGGCGTTGGCCGACTCCGGCAGCTTCATGTTGGTGAGCATGGCGAAGCCATCACCGGTGCAGTTGAGGTCCGTGCATCGCCTGCACCCACTAGAGCCATCCCTGAGCACCCACTCGGCGGGGAAGAGCGGGTCGATGCCCGACACGAAGCCGCAGACCAGTTGCGCTCGATGTTGCAGACGCCGTAGGGCCCGCAGGCGCGGTAGCCGTCGCACTCGTCGAGCGGGTAGGACCAGAAGATGCTCTAGGACCGAGTCATGTCGATCCACATGAGCCACTTGATCTGCCCCGACGAGTTGAGTACGAACCGCGTGAGCGACGCTGCGGCGCTGTCGACGACGTCATAGCTGTAGTAGGCCTCGTTGCACGTGGCGACGAAGCGGAAGGTGAGGAGGTTGTTGGACTTGAGGTTGGGCACCCCCGTGAACTGGTACCCGTTCCACGGCCCGCTGCCGTAGGTGCGCGCCGATCGGCGGTACAGGAAGAGCTCCGGGGACCCCCGTGGGTCGAGGCGGAAGGTGTAGTCCCCCGGGGACGGGTCTCCCGTGGTGCGCCACGACGTAATGCGCCGGTCCAGCCCCGTCTGGAAGTCGATGCTGAACTTCATGCCGGGCAGGAGTGTGTCGGTGGGGTAGTCGAAGCTCTTCCACACCACGCCGGCGCCGGGGACCCGTAGCACCAGGTTGCCGTTCTCTAGGAGCTGCGTGGTGGCGTTGCCGGTGCCGCTGCTGGCTGTGGCCGTGGTCATGCCCGGTGGCGGCGGTGGCGTCGCCCAGACCATGGCGCCCTACTGCTGCTGGTCGTCGTCCACGACGATGGCCAGGCTCCCGTTGGCGAGGACCCTGAGCTGTGCGGCATCCACGCCGCCCACGACGGGGCTCCCGCGGTTGGCCACCCACACGACGGTCCGCTCGGGGATGCCGTTGAACCATATCCCGAGGTACGTTCGCCCGACCGTGTAGTCCGTGTCTGGCGCGAAGATGCCCAGCACGGCACGCCCCGCGGACACCAGCGTCCGGTTCCCCATGAGCGGTGCGGCCGATGTGACCGTGTCCGTGTCCGTGTCGGTGCCACCGGCGGCATGGTGAAGGAGGAGGACGGCGGCGGCGGCGAGGAGCGGGCACCGTCATCGCCGCATGGTGTCGATGCCGAAGCGCCGATGGTACGTAAATTGTGATTTATGATTTGTTTTACTTTAGCTTCATAGTTCAAATCTAAATTGGACTTAATTCAATTTATATTATTTATGAAATATCTTATATATATATGATTTTATATAGTTAAAATAAATGAAGCGTATAGTTTTCTTTTCCACGTATAAAGCTAATCTTTCGGTAGTTGTATCTTTTTAACCGTAGCTCCAATTAGAGTGCTTGCGTCTGTGTGTTCCAAGCGATGCGTAGAATCGTGTTTCAAACTCTTTTACTTATTTTCTATAATTGGTGTACTGTTCTAATTTAGATCTATTGTTTGCTTTGTGTATGATTGCATGGATGCTTGTGTGGTGCTTTATGATCTTGTCTAGTCGGTGAGTTATACGTGGTGAATCAAGAAGCAGATCTTTGAAGTTTTGGACTTGAAGAAGGATCTAAGTTTAAGGCAAGTATAGCAAGGGACCATCCTTGTTGCCTATTCACCGTTAATCACTTAATTCATATTGCATGTGTCTACCTTGTTGCCAATAAGGATATCCTAGATATTTGATATATTATACCTTGACACCTTTGGGGTATTGCATTGGGTAGTATGATGCTAGTGCTCAACTACAACCATGATCTTGTAACTTGACTAATGGTATATGCAATAAACACTAAAAGATGCTTTTTAGCAACATGGAAATAGGGGGCTAGAGTGTTTAGCTACTTTCTAAATGCTCTAGATTCCTCTCCCTAAGGACTTATCTATAAGTGATTATCTGGGACTTACAGTACAACTGTGAGGGCTACATGGCTCTGGCTTTAGCTCAGTATGAGGACCTTTTCTAGCTTGTTAGTGGTTACCTTTATGGCGCAAGAGGGACTCTGATTTGTATGATCTCGGCCTGCTAAGAGGGTGCACTTTGGTTTCTTGGTATTTTGTTAGTCACTCCTTGGAGGGGGGGGGGTTCATGCGTATTGATGGGGAAACCTTAGCGACCCTAACTTTTTAGACGAACCTTTGAAAGGCTTCACAGTGAACCCTACCAACCTTCTTTGGTAGTGGGTTAAGAGACTCACGACCTCGGGTGAAAGGGTAAATCATGACTTACGGTGAAAGTGTACAACCTCTACAGAGTGTAAAACTGGTATATCAGCCGTGCTCATGGTCACGAGCGGCCATGGAACCCTTACGGAATAGATGATCATTAATGGTTAATGATGATGAACACTGATGATACTGATGATGAAGATGATCACTAATAATTACTATTTATGCTATTCATTATTCATGTTTATCTAATCATGTGTTTATATGGGCTTGTGATAAACTTGTTGCTACTCCTTTGCTAAAATTGTAACAATTAAAAGCTAATCATAGTTAAACCAGTATAAGCCTTTTGAATCTCATGAACCCCATGTTATATTTGTTGAGTACGACATGTACTTACGCTTGCTTTATTTTTCACATATTTGGATAAAAATCCCGAATGGGTACCAGATTTCTAGAGTTTGGAGGATTTAGGCTTGTGATCAACCAGTCAGTTGTCCCTGTGGAATTTGAGTCTTCACCCAAAGATCGGAGTTGTCTTTCCGTTGTTTGCTATCTGAGGTTATATTCTGTATACTAATACGTTATGTATTTAAGCATTGTCTATTGATATTACCCTTATTTGTAGCTATATGTGAGATTTGACTTCTTGGGCTCACATATGGTGTGTATCTGGTTTTGTCCTTAAAATCGGGTGCTACATGATCACCACCAATGGCCAATTGGGCCCTTGGATCCGTGCCCTGATCGAGGGCGCCCAATCGTTCCATGTTTGGTGGCCCCCCGTCGCACAGCGCCATAAAAAGGGAGGTGGGGGCTGGGGCGCAAGGTACGAAGTTCACCTGAGCCGCCAGATGCCCCACCTACATCCCCAAAACCCTAAACCGATCTAAGTGAGGGGGCGTTGCCAACGACGGGAAGCACTGCCACTGGCCAACGCCGCCACTGCCCAGCCGCCCTTCACCGCAGCGCCTCCACCGAGTCTTCACCGAGCACCGTGATGGCCAACTCATCTTCCTCGAAGGTGGTCGATGGTTTGCACCTCCTCCACCCCTCTCTCTCTCACTCTATCTGTTAATCCCATACTGGTAGATGTTCTAGGACTCGTTGTTTATTCCAAATGCAAGTACACATGCTAGATCTATGGCTAGTGATCCTGTTCTAATTCTATCATCACTCTCACACCGCCACACGGATGTGTTGCGTCATGCCTCACAATTGATTTGCATTCACCACCCAACGAGAGATTTGGTACTATGCCATCGCTACCACCGGAGCAGGCTACCGAAAGCAGGCTACCGGACGCCCGTGTAGCCACAAGGATGGCAATGACGGGGACTTTCTCCTCCTCCTCTCTCTTTCCCTGTATGTGGTGGCCATGGCATGACAACCGGCGATGGCTTGCTCCAGCACGGCGCCCAACCACCGATCTGGCACCTCCTTCACCGGATCCAACTGTGGCAGAACCGCCTAATCTAATGCCTCCCAGGAGTACTTGTCTTCTATTAGACACTAAGTACTCAAGGGAGGACGCCAAATTACGGAGTTCCATCGGGCACACCCCGAGGGAGAAGCCGAAAATCCATATTTTTCCATCAGGATCACAAATGAGAGAATAAAGCTTACATCGTTATTAACCATTTCTTATATCACTTTTAATACAACATCAGAGTATAGCATTTATTGATTTTAATAGCAAAATATGATCATGTTATCGGAGTTTTTAACAATTTAATTTAACAGCGGAATATAAACATGTGAACAGAGGTACAACGGAAATAAATATCTATTCATGACATGATGAAGCATTGATATATAAACTATGACAACATATTATAAAACTTTCATTTATAAAAACAACATCTAGTGACAGTTATAAATAAGACTATGATCGTAGTGTAAAGGAATCCTCGCTGAGCCCACCAGGAGGAATCCACAAGGGTCAGCTCTAGCATCCACCTATCACCTGCAACAGGGGAAAATAAAACCCTGAGTACTCAATTGTACTCAGCAAGACTTACCCGATAGGAGGAAAGAAAAGATTCCAAGGATATGCAAGGCTTTCTAGCTTGTGGGTTTATTACATCTGCAGGAGCATTACTAAAAGTGTGTCCTTATATTTGACTTTTATTAGCAGTGCATTAGTTCATTAACTAACCATTCTATGTAAGCACCTGTGCTACTTTCAAGCAGGTGGTAAGCAACCAAGATCATTTTACCATCTTTTATCTTTCAGTTCTTACTACGTTGCTAGGCTATAGACAAGCCATACCAGATTGCCCGGCGATTCGCGAATCAATGCTCCCAGCTGGGTACCCTAAAAACACACACCCCACTTGTACCCTAGGCACAAGCAGGATCAACCCACTACCCTCCTATCATGAGGTCTAGGTCCCCATCCAAACTGGGACTCCAAGCCCCCACCCCTGAGTCCTGGACTCAGTGCGGTGCAAGAACCTCCACCCAAAAACCACCCTGACAGTCGGTCCAGAAAGAGCCGGAACCTATGATAAAAGAGTAACAAGTCTTCCCTACGCCCATACCCAAGTACGTGCTCGGGATAATAAGTCTGTGACCTACCTAGAACGCAATGCAAGGGCCGGTCCTTAACCGACATAGACAAGAAAAATAGTGTAACCAAGCTATGCCTCGTTGGTCGTAGGACACAACCTCGTACACCCACCAATACCCAAACCATATCCCTGCCCGGTCACCATTTATCATTTCCACCATTTATATTTTCCAAGTGATAATAATCCAGTAATATATTTCCTATCTCTCGCGAGTGACAGACAATCATTCGACTTCTACCGGAGTCCTGTAGCATAGCAATCTACATGATCATGTCATACTAGTAAGACTCATAGGATAAAGATATATATGCAAGTGGGTTTCATTCAACTCCTTAAAACTTAATGCACAAATATAATTTAAAGTGCAGAAAAGTAGGGGTTATGCACCAGGGCTTGCCTGGGTAAAATATATATACTAAAAAGTTAGTATCTGCATCTTCAGATCATTGACCATCAACTGAATAGAAAGCCCATTGCAATATCTCCTGGAGAGAATACCATTACACCATCTTGAGATTCTTAATCATCCTTCAATTGATCCGTTGATCCATTATCGTACCTATATGATATGCATTGATGCAGATGATGCAACAGATAATTAACAAGGCAATAACAACTCTTAAAACAGAGTACATACTACGAACTAACAGCTAGCTCTAATGACCAGCGTACTAATCTACATATCAACATCATTGAGAAAGGTGTCATCTCCCAACAAGTGTTTTAGTTATACAATTCCAAGGTGTTTCTTTATTCCATTCTATCAATTTAATCTTTATTCAAAATAGTGTATCATTATCTATCTAGCAAACTAATTATTCTGGAGCTACAAAAATTACAGTGAGCAGCTAATAATATTAATAATTTACTGCCAAATTTTTAGAGTCAACACTATCATCATTTTACCACAAAAATTCCTACAAGTTTACATTTTCATAATATTAAGCATTCTAAATCAATTAGAGCAACCCTAGAAACAACTTAAAACTAGGTGAACAAATTATACTAACAAATAGATCCTAATTTTAGGAACCTAAGAAAATTAGTTTCACAATTTTTGGATTCCTCTACTATTTTATATTAATTTTACAAGTTAACTAGAAACCTATATTATAAAAGCATTTAGAAAATGGAAAGGCCGACAGCAACCCCCTATCGGCCCAATGGCTCGTTCGGCCTGGTCTAGTGGCAAGACAGCCCAGGCGGGGCACGGCACGCGTGTGGTGGCTACAGGTCGGACCAGCGGGGCGCGGCGGCCTAGGCGCGC